GATGTCAGCTCCTGTCCATTGATAGCCCACAGCAAGGACAAGACTTTTGCCATATCGGTAGGCTTGCTGAAGATGTGCGTCTGTGACTGTCATTATTTTGGACTGAGTTTTCATCTCTAACCTGACAATTAGCTGCAAAAGGGAATAATGCACTCTTTCAAGAGCTTGATTTAGTATCAGGAACAGCTCTTGGCTTTGGCAGCATCCAGGGACGATGTCTCTCCCTCCAAAGCAGAAACATGCCCAGCCACGTGCTGCTGACTGTGATGACAGAGCTGCTGGAGACATCTGGGGATGCGTGAGGTGGAGCATGCAGAGGAATGAACATGAACATGAATGCTTGTTTTCTAAAGCTAACTCTTTTTAAGAAAATCTAATCTTGTCATCCAAAGGAAGGACAAGGTTAAATATCATTGTGTACCTCGGACTAATGCCTACCAGTGCCTACGTCTTCCAAAAAGGAATCTAAGCCATGGCTAAAGAGGATCCACTTGTCCTCTCAAGCCACCACCTTGAGCACCTGCTTTCTATACTTTCAGCATTTTGAGAAAGAGTAAGCTGGGACATAGCCAGCCTGTTTCTTTTTTTGTATGGTTTGTTTGAAATCACCAGGGGTGCAAGGGCCCCGAAACCATCTGCTTGCTTTCCCAGCCTGATGGATGGACCGACAGCCATTTGGTGTGGGTCATTTGGGAACCTGTGGGAAGGAAGCAAGGAAACATTTGTACTTGACTGATGCAGCTTACGTCCATGCTGCAGTGTGTTATCAGAACTGGTCAGAAATGCTTTTTTTTACCTGAGTGTTATTTCATCAGGACCTGACAATTGTTTGAAGTGGAAAGTACTGGCAGGAAAGGCTACGCTTGAGCAGATTGGTCTGTTTGAAAGACAGTGACATTTCAAAATTGATATTCTGAAATTGCCACATGCCCTTCTGGAAAAGAAGTAAAAAAAAAACAGCAGGAAAAGGTTGGTATTTCACTGAAACTTGTCAAAAACAGAGAGGTGAAGTACTGTGCCCAACCAGCCTGAGCTGTGTGTGCTTTTGCTTTGCTAGCCCTTTCCACATTGCAACATTTCGGTCTTTGTGGGATGAATTTGGGGGTTTCCATCCCTTTGTTTTTTTCCCCCTTTTTTTTTTCCCTTTTCTCAGATTTCTGAGTTGTCTGGACACCATTTTCTCCCAACCCTGATTTCCAGCTCATGTTCCAGCAGAACCTGGGATCCTTTTCACCCCAGTTAGCCAGAGAGGAATGGCTGAAGGCACAGCAGGACTGGGTAAAAGATGTTTTGTGCCAAACAGGAGAGGAGGAGAGCAGAAAAAGCACTTTGGTAGGAGCTCAGGCTAAGTTTGCAGTAAAACATCCCTTTACTCTCATCTCACCTAACATTAACCTTCCAAAACCAAGATCTCTTATCAAGCATCTAAAAAGGTGATACAGGCTTTAGCAGCACTGCCCAGTGAGAGCTGACTGCCCATTCACAGCAGTAGGCTCTGTGCTGCCCTTTTAGGATGTCTCCTTTGGCTACAGGAGGGGCTCTAGAAAGGCTAAATATCAAGGATGTTTAAATGCCATGTAACTAGGTGGTATGAGCACCTTTGTGCTTCTTCCTCTTGGCAGTTTACTAACCCAAGGGGAAAGCCTGAGAAAATAAGTATAATTAATCCCAACTGCTGTGGACAATGTAATTGAAATTTACTTTAAAGATTGACATTGCTTAGGCTGAAACCTGCCTCAAAATCCCCTCATCTCCCTTCCTTAAACACATGAGTATTCTGTGTTTTGTACAACAAAATATACAGCCAACTCTACTTGTTAAATTTGCTTTCAAACTCATCATAGGAAATAAATCTTGCAGGAAACAGAGGAAATCAATAACTCTGCCATATTCCCAGAAAAAGCTGTGGGAAGAGCATCCTCTGTTACGGATTGGATTCACTCTGCTGTCTAGAACTGCGGATACGGGAAGTAAAATCCACCTCCCATTCCAGCATTCAGATCTGCTGCTGCAGGGAGCTGTGTCCTTGATGGCAATGAGCCTTGGTGTCAGCTTAGAGCAGAAGAAACCAGGCTGGAGAAGGAGGACAGGGCTTCTGGCTGCAATAGTGTGACACTGACACATGAGGCTTTAATTTCAACAGAGGAAGTGGAGCAAAAAGGATTGCAAAATCTGGTTCCATAGTGGTCTGTGGTTCTGCTTGCTGTGTTTGGTGTCATATCTGTGGTCTCGGAGGAAACATCAGCTGGTTACCCTTGGTTTGAAGCAAGATGGGGAGATGGGTGGAGTGCAGTGTTAGAGAGAACAGGGGAAAGTGGTGATCTTTGGTGTATCAGCAGGGACCAGAAGAGCCCTCTCCTCTCATCCTGGTTGAGAAAAAACAGTAAAGCATTTCTTCACACTTTTTTTCCTCCTTAAGGCTGTTCTGTGTCTGTGAATACTGAAAACCTTTCTTACATTTGTTTTGCACTATGTACATGAAGACTTACCCCAGGTTGCACATCTCCAGGTCCCTAGCAGACCTCATCCTTGAGTTGCTTTGTTCCAGGGTATCCCAAAGCCATCTGAGGAGATGGCTCACAGGCTGTGGGAGGTAATTTGCTGTGGGAACTGAGAGGAGAGCAGTCCACACAGCATCCTTAAAGCAACCCAAAGAGAAACTATTGCAGAGAGTAATTACTCTCGCAATCCTCCAGGCTCGCTTTGCCACAGCACTGTGCAGTGAGATCTGTGCAAATTTGGAGGTTGCTGTAATCCCCATCGCCATTCTGTGATGTGGAGGGAAAGGTTGTTTTCATTCGAAGGCAATCACTTACCCTTTATTTACTGTGAAGGATGAGGATGGGGGACTCGGAATCCCAAAGCTTTTCACAGTTGGTTTTGTTGTCTAATTATTTTGCAGAAGAGCTGTTCCCAGCAGCGCAGGGCTGTGTCCTCTGCAGCAGAGCCTGGGGGACTCCTGCCCTTGCAGAAGGTCTCTCTAGAAGTGTTTTGCTATAGGATAACACTGCAGCTCACGTGTCTTTTTCACTTACTTTGTTTATGTATTTTTAATGCATCGCATGAATAAAGGAAAGTGCCTTCCATGTTGTCTTTTGAAGGCAGATATTTGTGTTGCTGTCGTGCTGTCGTGGCTTGCCATGCCCAAGTGTATTTACGTATATCCATCTTTTCCTTCAAAAAGCAGCCCTGTCAAGTTTCCCCAGTTGTTCAGTCAGTCACAAAACACTGTTGTAAAGCTAACGCTGCTTTATGTTGTCTAAATAGATGTGGGTCTTCTATTGTTCCTGCTGTCAGCCTTATTGTTAAGTTGCTTTGAATTTGCAATTCTCTGTTCCGAGGAGAAGTTATTACTTGTAATTAGGATTGTTAGATAGTAGCACTTTTCACTCTAGAGTTAATGAGTTATGATCAGGACATATCTTCTCATTAGTTTAGAATATTCCCATTGTTATTCTGACATTGTTATTAAAAAAAAAAGTTTAGATAGCAGCTGACTTAAACCAGCAAAAACATTCACAGGCTCCATGAAAGTTATGGATGGCTAAACATGAGCCTGTGTCACCACTTAGGTGCAGAAAGAGTCCTACCGTGATGCATTGCACCCTAAGATCCATTATCAGGCAGGATGTCTGAGTTCAAGCTTCACAAGAGGCTTCCAACTGGAGCTGACACTGAGCAGGCAATCAGAGTGGCAAACTACCTTTCCACCTTTTATCCCTGTCCCTCTGGGATGAAAGCGCTCTCCTTCACAAACCTTTGTGGCACCATTCTAAGTTTCCTGCCGGGTGAGGAGGCTGTGGAGGCACCATGGCACATAGAAATGGTGCTGAGAAATGTGAGCTACAGTCTGGAGAAACTCTTCTTTCCCCCACCTGCTTTTGCATTGCAGGGTCCCCGCACTGTGATTTCTGCACCCAAGCAGAGGAACAGGCACTACATTTCACCACTGTGTTTAATCAATGGTGAGATTAAGGTAGGCATTGGGCTTGTGTGGGTCAAGAGAATCTTATAAAGGTAGCACTGAACCAGGATGCTGAAAAAACCTCTTCCAGTCGTTTGGAAGGTAGATTCTAAAGTGGTGAGCTTCAAAGGCTAGAAAGAGTTCTTTGATCTTCCAAAGCCTGTAAATGAGAGCGCTGTCTGCAGGATGCAACACGTGTCCAAACAATCACAACAAATCTCAATGGAGTTTTCAAGCAGCAAAACCCTTAAGAAAGAAATGAAAAGGGACATAATTCAGACAGTCAGCCCAAACAACAGCATGGCTGTCGCAGATGTTTTTGGTAGACGTTGTACAATAACTTATTAACTCAAAAATAAACTATTTGACTTGCCAGCTGAATGCTTGACAAATGAGGGAGATGATGTTTAAAGACATAAAAAAGGAAACAAAAGGGATGTGGACCTGGAATAAGGGAGATTTCAGTCTGTGCAAGTTTCTGAGAAGATCACAGCTTCAAAAACCAGAGGAACATTTTTAGGTGGGAGGAAGTAATGAAAGACATTCTGAAATGTTTTTGTTGTGGTTTTCTGACCTTTTACTAACTGCTCCAGGCCTGCATGAAATGTTGAGCTATGGGGCGGATTTGTTTGCTCTTAGGTAAAGCATGCTCAGAGAACATATTTGTGAGCACAACTGTGGGCAAAAAATACTTGAGGTCCTCAGATGGGCCGTGCCATGGCCAGGCAACCTTGGGAAGGGTCTTTCAGGCTAACATTTGACTTGGTATATAAATCTAGGCTTGGCTCTGCAGTGATGCTTTGCTACTCAGTTCCCCATGGAATGGAGTTAAATACCTCAGTAGTTTTGGACCTGAATTACTGAGAATACTGGAAGGGGAGTATGTCTGAGCAGTACACTTATATTCTTTCCAGAGATGTTTTTTGAGCATCAAAACCAAATTGCTGAATTCATTTGTGTATTTGCTTATCTTAGAGTGCAGTATGTCTGGAGGATACATCCTAGTCTGTGAGGCTCTCCTTCCTAACGTCTTGCCATCAATTACAGCATTAGTTACCCATGTTTTCTGTTTCTAAATACATCCGGACTTTTGTTTTTAATTATTCATTGAGACAAAGACTTATTTTTTACCGGAGTTTCTAAATGTGCTCTTGAGCATTATGGAGACAACCTGTGACAGCCAGAGGAAAAACAGGACTGGACAATGGAGTCTGTGGTGTCAAGGCAGTCATGTAAAAAAGGAGGTAAGGTTCAGCGTTTGCTTCTCATGTACTGTCTTTGGGTATCCTATTGGAATTTCTAGGACAATTGCTTCTTATAAATGGGTTGTGACAAGCAATTACACATCACTCTACACATCTTAAGAAAGGAAAAGCAGAGTAATTGAAAATAGGACTGTGAGAGCTCTCAGGAGGTCACTCAGGCCATCTCCTCACCCAGGTGGGATTGGCTTCACACTAACGACTTGTGACATATGTTTGTCTCATGTGTTTTCAAAACCCGCCAGTAACAGAGGTCCTGCAACCTCCCTAGGAAATGCTTTCAGGGCTTATCTCTGTTTAATGTTGCGGCTTCTTTCCTACTGTCTTCCTCATGTTCCCCTCAAGGCCATCGTGACACTGGCTCTTCTTTTCAGGCTCCTAAGGAGCACACGGGATGGTCATTTCCTTTCTTCTACAGCTACAAGACCATCTGTTTGGAGACTGCTATCATGATTCCTCTTAGTTTTCTCCTTTATAGACTAAACAATCATGCCATCCTTTTAATCTTTCCTCATAATTTATGGTGTTTAAACCTTTCCTCATTTTTGTTGTTCTCCTCTGGACTTGGACTAATCGATCCATATCCTTCCTGAAAGCATTGGCCCAAACCTATGTTTCAGTAGCTGCATTTTCTCATCCTGATATTTGCTTTGCAAAGGGTGGGTTGCTCATTGCAACAAGGATTTTCAGGAGTCTTTGTTTAAAAGTCTTTGGTAAATGCTCAGTCTTGGATCTGGTCTGGTGTTTAGATATAGGCAATACAGACCAGAGGAGCTTCAACATCTCTGCTGACCTCCAGTGCACTAACGAGTGCTGAATTTTAAATGGGAGGAGGAAGAAGAAGGAAGATGGTGAGAATATAGAGTGGCACCATTCTCAGAGATGTCTGATTCTTATAAATACTTTTTGCTGATCTGTGCTGGTCTCCAACAGTCCATATCAACTGAAACTTCTCAAGCAGTATGAGAAATTCTCCCAGTTTGAGCCTCTGGGCATGAGAGCAGATCCATTATGGGAGCTGGTCAATCGGATTCTTCCCTTCTGGAAGAAATACTGGCATTTTTGGCTTGTATTACTCTCTTTTAATCCTGAAACCTCCACTGATGGTGGCAAAACACCCATTAGGGGTCACGGCCAGCGTGTCTTACAGTAGATTTCCGTCCCAGTTTAGTAGGGTTGGGATGGAAAAGGGTTTCTCTTCCCAAAGTAGCTGAAGGACCAGATGATTTTTCCAGTTACATAGCTCTCAAAAAAGCCTCTAAAGCCCTTGGGATTAGGCAGCCAAAACATCATCATCTGGGTGAAGTTTCATGGGGGAAAGATATGTCAGCAGATAATGGAAAATGGTTTAATTTGGTAGGAACTTTATGAATTTGAGAGGAGAAAAAAAAAAGAAAGGTTGTTGTTGGCTACCTCTTTTACTGGTAATGTTAATTGCAAAATAGGGATCACTTAAAAATAAGCAATTATAATTGCATGATTATAATTTTTTAGGTTCCCAAAGCTTTGCTGGAAACTGAGCTGTTACTGCAGCTTGTGCTGGGTGTCTGGAATATAAAATGAAGGGAAAACAGCCTTACTTTGAGTCTGTGAAGTTAAGCTTGTTGCTACCTCTCAGTTTGAAATTTCTTTATCCAACAGATTGCACACTCTTTTAAGGAAGCAGAGTTTCAGTGTTTTCTGCCATATAGTGTAATACCACATAAAGCAAGAGAAAGCAAAGGAAGTTGGCTCATGCTGGAATTGTTCTGGTGTTTTCTCATACAACAGAGTGGTAAATTGTTTTCCTTGGCTTTCTGGAAAATATCTGACCTTGATACTCCATATTCCATTTATGTAAACAATTACAAAGGCATCTGAGCCAAATAGAAAAGACTATTTCTTGAAAACCTGCAGGGAATGCATGTGGGAATTTCCCACATGCTATGGCAATCTTAAAAATACCTCCTTGTAACCCCACAATATTAATGATTAACTCCGGAACTGTGAGTTTTTCCAGACTTCCAGTGAACTCCGTGATTTGTGTGTTCAGCTGCATGTATCAGGGAGAGGTAGTAAAAAAAAGGCATTTACCTCTTTTTGCAGCTTGCATTTAACAATCTGCCACATTTTCCCCTTGAAATTCAGGATTTCTGTAGATTTCTCAGCTGATAAATCTCACAGTACAAGAAACGTCATTTTGTGGCTAAGCTGTGTGCTGCGATGCTCTTGTGAGAGCAAGCTGGAACCAGTTTTGTTCTTCGTGGATTACTCACAGATAGAAAACTGCTTTGCTCAGGATGCTCACCCACACGCTGCAGCGAGAACCTTCAGAGATGTGCTTAACATCATTGATACCTTGTTTATATACATCTGAAGTTCAATATTAGTGTTAGCTTTGTGAATTGTTTCCGTTACATTTGCTGAAGAAGAGAGCAATAGCAGAGTGCCCCTTAAGAGGTAATTTCCCAGAGCAAGCAGGGCTCCTCATGCAAAGATTCACATCACACCAAGTCTGTTCAGCTCGTGACATGGTGGGCAGGACCACTGACAACAGTTTGCAAATGTAAAATGTTGCATGAAGCTGTCGAAAGATGCTGAGTGCCAAACCTGCACCTATCTACACCAACAGCCTGTCCTACAATAGTAAAGAACATTCAGCCTCTTGGACCACTATTTCTTTACTGGTATCGCTTAATGTAGCAGTGTGGTCTATCAACCATCCCACTGCACCATGTGTAGTGGTGGTAATATTTTTATCAGTAAAATTTCCAGAGCACAGTTTTGTAATTAATTCAGCTTGAAAGACTGGAGCCTGGCTGTTATGGGTGACAAGTTAACACTCATCCTTACTGGGCCAGAAGAAAATGGTTTTGGAATACCTTGTGAACCAGCACACCCCCATTTCAGGGTGTTTTTAATAATATATCCATCATTTAGATGTATGTATACAATTTAATCTTTTATTATCTATCTATCTATCTATCTATCTATCTATCTATCTATCTATCTATCTATCTATCCATCCTATCTATCGGCTCATCTGGATGCTTCATTGGTTCATATAAGTCTTTTTTGACTAGTGGAGCAGGCCCAGCATCCTAATGACACAATCACAATCAGGCCATCAGAGCTTCACTGCAGTGGATGCTGGCAACTTACCTGTCTGCAGTCAGAAAAGATAAATATCTCTACAGACTGGACTGGGAAACCACACAGTTGGAAGCAGATGGTAGCAAAAAAAAAGAAGCAAGCTTTAGAAAAGAGGAGGGGAACCTGTTTTTCCTTCTGCATGGAAAGATGTGTACACTGGAGATGTGAGTGTGTACATGTGAAAGACAGGAATGGTGAAGTGATTAATTTCATTCCTGTGATTACCTTCTTTTGGATTAGCACAGAAGATGCAGCCTTGCTAGACCTTCAGTAAGTGAAATCCTTTGTGTTTATGGGGAAGTAGCAGAAAGTCTACCAGACAAGGGGGTGTCTTAGTATGCCCAGACTGAGCCCCCACAAGCTGCACTGAAAGTTGTGTTTGACTGTATCAAAGTGACTAAAATAATTGAATCTGATGAAGTGCTGCTAAGAAATGAATCTAATTATGAATCTTGCATTATTTAATGACCATTCTTGAAACTTGAGCACCTTTCAGCAGATCATTTGATGAAAACATTGATTTCTGAAAATCAGATTGACTCCTACTCCTTCCAGTCATTAGGAGTGATCTGAAATCAGAGCTGAGAACACCTGAAAGGCTTGAAACTCAGGAAGTGCAGGAAGAATAGACACCAAATCCTTAAACCCAGGATGTTTCAAAAAAACCTCTTCACAATGCCTTTTAAAGAAAGGATGGGAATGTTGTAGTTTTTTGAAACATTAATAAAAACATGCATTAATACTAACCTGCAGTAGTTGTTTAAAGGAAGAACATGTAGAGGTGGGTAACTGGCAGGTAATGAAATCTCATCTGAGAAGATGCTGACCCTTTCAAACTTTACTACTCTTGGGCTCATAATGTTGTTTGTGGAATTTATTGCTCAGTGTCTGTGTGCATTCATATAGCTCTATCTGTATGTATATGTATTAGGTTTCCTTCCTTCTGTGCCTAATATACAGAGGATGTGGCTTTGCGTCAGCTCTGCTGTGACATTTGCCTTTCTGTCTGGCTGTAGAGGCCCACATATTCAGCTTGAGTTGTCCTGGGTTCAGTTGTTCACAAGATAGATGTTGGTTATTATATCTGTGGGGTTTGGTTTAGAGTTAAGCATGTGTTAAGGCACACGTGGTAGGGACATCTTGCCCTTGAAGACAGGAAGCAGATAGCCAGCTGGTCAGTACAGTACATCTCTATCTGCTTGATTAATGCAGGATATGGGTCTGCCACAGCTTTTACCTTCAGATCTTGGCTCTTCAGTTGACTCATGCTTTCATCCTCAGAGAGCTTAATTTTCCTCCCAGATATGATTTATTCCACCTTTTTCTTTTTTCCCTTAAAAAAAACCTCCAACAAAACCCAAACAATCTTAAAAGTATCCAGTTACTGGCACCAAACTAACGAACTTTTTCTCTATTCAGTGTTTTCCGTTTTTTCATTACGCTCAGTTTGACTGGAGCTACATGCTGTCCCTGCTCCTAAGCTGGCCATTTCCTGCTGGAAAAGGCAGGGAGAAACTCTACACTGACAGGGAGAGGAATAAGACATGCAGTTCTCTCTGTAACCCCTATGGATATTATGCTACTGTATGTGCTTCTATCATTTGTAAAACCCCTGAAAAGTAAGACTTGGAAAGACTTGTTTGCATATGGCACTCACTATACTATGGAACTATGCCTTATTGTCATGGCGTTATAAGAGCTTCACCTTACTGTTAGCTGATGTAATAAAACCGTATCTATGAAGCTTGGAGTTCAGCAACTGAATTTTGTTCTGTACCCTGCCACAGATCGATCTCCGTATGTTTTATTTCAGTTAGGATTATTGCAGATGTAAGTTTAAGTGTCTGCCC